AGGGAGAGAGAGAGAGACAGAGAGAGAGAGAGAGAGAGAGAGTGAGAGAGAGAGCCAAGCAGGGTCATACCTGTTCCCGGTAGATGAATGCAATAATCCCAATCGTCACTTGCAACAGGAAGCAAACCACGGTGGTTACCAAAAACTGAAAAACCAAACAAATTTAATTAAATAGTAGCTTTTTGTATTGTGAGGGTATAATACTCCCTTTAACACCGACAGCTTGGAATGCCGTAAACTATTAAGTAGGAAAAAAAAAAAAAACTAACACCATTTACACAATAATCTTATTTTGCTTTTCAGGTAATCTACATGATAATATACATTTCATCTACTTCACATTCATTATACAGACAAAAAGAGAATACCTGAAGACTTTAAAATAAAGAATGAGAGGAGAAAAAAAGTTCAGCTACTAAAAAGGCATAAAGACACCAGAAAGCGTGACATAGCCTTAATAATGAACAACTTCAGAACCTGCAAAAAATTGCGGGCAATAAAACATAGCTGCACCTAATACTGTCATAGGAGATATGAACAGGGAATACATTTATTAAATACACGCATTATTTGATTGCAAAAAGGGTATAAAACAAAACCATGCCAATTCAGTACTCTGCCGTAATCCGACAAAACATCTTTTTTTTCATTTTGGCATCAATTTTTTTATTTGCTAAATTGAAAGCCTGATCAGTAACCCAACATATGTAAAAAAAACAAAAACAACCCAACCAAACAAAGTGAAATTGTGACTTTTTTTTTTTACATAAATAAGAATTCAAATTTCAGAAGAATGCAGAGTTCAGAGAGTTTGAAGTAAAAAAAAAATCACTTAGCCCCAAGATACCAAGACAAAAATTCTAGAGTTTGATAAAAAAAATTAATTAAAAAACCCCATCAGATATAACTGTTTGTACCATGTTTTGGAGGTCAAAGTGGCCCAAAATACACATTGACATGGAGCCCTAGGTTTGAGACTGGCACACAAGATGTTTTTCACGTACCACTTTCAGCAAACAAGGTTTCTCCATGATGGTACCAACCATGCCGCACAAAGCATTAATTGCGATGATGAGACCAACGGCAATCAACATGGCAGTGGGGACGGCCAGTCGGTTGTTTACAGGTTCAATGCGATCCCTGTGCATCTCCACAAGCACTCCAATAGCCATTAGAATGATGCCAACAAACTGGAAAATATATGATAAGACATCAGCTACATAGCAGTATCAAAACAAAATTTTAAGAAGCTTGATAAGACAAAACATCAATTTTTTCAACATTCCACTTAAAGAAGTTGACAGTTTCTGCAACATAAAATATTAATAGTTATACGACCTAAGATATAATGATGGTAGAAAGTGGAAAAAGACAGAAATTCTGGAAGTCCAGAACATTTTATTAATGTAAACAAATATGGTTTGAAAAATATTTGGTGTGAAAATGAAGCTTAAATATATATTTTTTTTAACAATTAAAAGTAAAAGTTACAGAGCTATATAATCGGTGCTAAAAAAACAAACATGAGCACACAGATGAAAACAATTTGACACAATTTTTATACACTAGGCAGTCAGGAATGCCACTGGACTTTTGTAAAAATAGTTGACAATTTTTTTCCAGACTAGATTTAGCACGTGACAAAGCAATGAAAGCAACAACACATTATATTCAGTTCAATAATAAAACAAAGTTCCAAAATGGATGATGCCCAAAATAAAAGAACAAAAACCCGGAAAAAAGGCATCCCTGGGCACTGTCTTCTGAAAAAAAAAACACTTCGAAAAAACAAATTTTAAAAAATATATTACCGTGTTCTCCGAAAAAGAACATGGACATCCGTAGACTAAAAAAAGTTGTTTTTTTCGCTGACCAGGTTTTAGGCAACTTTGAAGAGTCACAACTCAATTCTTACCCTACGCTCTCCTTGATATGATGAAGATAGAGAAACCCTTACTTAAAAAACAAAAATCAAACAAAAATGTGCGTATTGTTTTGTTTTGAGTGCTGTTGAAACCAAAAGGTCTTGAATGAAAGTGAATTTTTACTAAGCAGCATTGTGCTTTTGAAACAATGAAACTGCACCAGTTGCAATGCTGCAAGTGACGGTAAAGAATAAGCATGAATGGGTCAGCTGTTATAAGACAATTGGATACTCTGACCATATGAAAGGAGCAAGTGATTGTACTACTTGAAAACCACTTACAGATGCACTGCTTGGCAGAGATAACGAGCATGCCTAAAAAAATATTCCGTGTAAATGGACATGGAGTGTATAGATTTCATAATCTGCTAATCTACACAGTACATCAGCCTCTCTTCCTTCCCTCTACCTGCACAAAGTAATGCAACCCAGATAAACTAATTGCCCTGAGCTCAAACTAGGTTCTTTGGCAGGTTTCTAGTTTCAGAATGGGTTCTTAGGCGTGCAAATTATTGAGAAAAAAAAATATTATGCTGAAACTGAAAAGGCAGTTTCTACGTACTGGGCTCTTATGCAGATTTTAAATTAAAGTCATCTATATTTTAGATTATCTATACACACACAATGGGGATAAAGAATGATTATTCATAATGAATGCAAACAGGTAACATGACCAGTCATCTGTTTTGGTTGATTATGTGGAAAAAGGACTACAACCATTTCTTGTGTCATGATGCTGTGAAAATTGGTGCACGTCAGTTCTTGGGCATGTTATTTCCAAAGCTTGAGTGTCCTTGGGAACTGCAAATTTTCATTTTTTGTGCCTTTCATCAACATTTTTCATTAAACAGTATGCAGGAATATATTCTTTAATGGATAAAAGGTGTTGAGCCAAAAAATTTTTAATCTATAAAAAGTGCCCAACGGAAGGAAAAATGTCAGTTTTTTCGATTTCATTTATTAATTTGACAAGCCCCTGGTTCCACCACACTAAGACACATTTGGTGTTTAAAGAACTACTAAACAAGCTAAGGCTCAAACAATTTTTACAGCCACTGATATGAATACACCTTTAATTTGTGGTTTTGCCACTGACTAGGCAGTGTTGTCCTCACAGAAATTAAGAAAATGACTGGGATCGTCAAGATGTATGGACGGGGGTTAAAGTGTTAAAAAAACAAACGACTGATTTTAAAGTTTTCAGTTGACTTTTAATTTTTGACTTGGAGAAGACTGAAAGATAAAGAAAAAATTTAGATCAAGAAGAGATATAAAATTTCCTTTTGTTTGAGAGACAGCATAAAAAATTGCTTTCAGCTTTTACCACTTTGCTTCCTATCAGTGGCTCACACAAAAGCACACCATTCATGAATATTACCTGGAGCAGCAGGGAGAGCAAAATTATAACCCTTTTTAAATGCTTCACCTGGAACTCTTCTAGGTCTGCTGAGATTGTTGATCATGTCTCATACGCATGGATTTATTAATTCCAAGAATACTTCGCAGTATTTCTCAAAATGGTCAAATATAGTTAAAATTAATTAAACCCAGTTATGTTTACACTAATACCTTTGAGCCAGAACTGGAGATTGCCAATACCTCAGCTACAGAATGGTTGAGATGACCCATGGACAGGAGACATACTATAATGTGAGGCAGCGTGGTGAAATCAGGTGCTTGTCAAAACAATGAAATCTGAAGAAACCATTTTTCTGATGGTGAGGCAGTTTTGTCGAACTTTTGTTTTTAGGCTCAACACTTTTAATGTCCACTTAGGAACATGTGAAAGTATTTTACTGTAAAACGATTTAAGGCATATACAACAATTTTCAGTTTCTATGGGCTCTCAACAGCTATGAAAATAACCAAACATTGGCAGTCATTTCCTAACTAATTTTACCCCTGAAACTAAGTGATCCTCACCTCCTTCAATCTCAAATCTTGACTTGTATCATAAAGATAAATTTTATGGGTTGGATTTTTTTCATCAAAAGCAAGACAAATGAACAAGCATTAAGAATTAAGATAATACGGTCAAACTCCACATGCTAAAAAATTGATGAGCGCCTGAATCCATCACCAGAGCTGGTAGTAACGGAGTACAAGTACTCCGGTACTTGTACTTACGTTACAATTTTCGGTACTTTTACTGTACTCCGG